TCTCAGAAGCCCTCGCGCCTTCTGACAACTTGTTTTCGTCCTCGGGGGGCCCGCATGGCGCGGCCCGCCTCGGAGCCCTGGGCACACGCGAGGCGCAGTGAGCCGAGCTAGCGTTTCTAGTTGCGCATAGACAAACTCACCGCTGGGTGGCCGTTTCGGGTCCCCGCGGTCTCCCTTCCCTGGTGGACAGCAGCGAAGAGACGGTAGTGGACAGACACGAAGCGGGAGGCAAAGGCCAGACAAGACGAAGAAAGCCGGCAGAAGTCGGGGCTCAAGAGACCAGGGTCCATTCAGACGGGGGTCAGCCAGAGCGCAGTATTTTGCAGGATATTGAAGGCCCAGGGGCGCATTGACCCGGGCTTGGGTGCAGGATCCTGCAGGATCTTGTAGGATCCTGCAAAGCCCGACTGACCCAGGTTTGCACTGACCCGGGCCATCAGATCCCCGAAGCAGGCACCCGCAAGACAGCCGTCCAGCAGGGAGTTTTTTTGCGCGTGTGAGTGTGACTGTGAATGTGAATGTGAATGTGAATGTGAATGTGAATGTGTGTGAATGTGTGTGAATGTGTGTGTGTGAATGTGTGTGTAAATGTGTGTGTGTGTGTGAATGTGTGTGTGTGTGTGAATGTGTGTGAATGTGTGTGTGAATGTGTGTGTCAATGTGTGTGTGTGAATGTGTGTGTGTGTGAATGTGTGTGTGTGAATGTGTGTGTGAATGTGCGTGTGTGTGAATGTGTGTGTGAATGTGTGCGAATGTGTGTGTGAATGTGTGTGTGAATGTGTGTGCGTGTGTGAATGTGTGTGAATGTGTGTGTGAATGTGTGTGTGCATGTGTGTGTGAATGTGTGCGAATGTGTGTGTGAATGTGCGTGTGAATGTGTGTGTGAATGTGTGTGTGAATGTGCGTGTGTGAATGTGAGTGAAAATGTGTGTGAAAATGTGTGTGAAAATGTGTGTGAAAATGTGTGTGAATGCGTGCGTGAATGTGTGTGTGTGAATGTGTATGTGAATGTGTGTGTGAATGTGCGTGTGAATGTGTGTGTGAATGTGTGTGTGAATGTGTGTGTGAATGTGTGTGGATGTGCGTGGATGAGTGTGGATGTCTGTGAATGTGTGTGAATGCGTGTGAATGTGTGTGAATGTGTGTGAATGTGTGTGAATGTGTGTGAGTGTGTGTGTGTGAATGCGTGTGAATGTGCGTGAATGTGTGTGAATGTGTGTGAATGTGTGTGTGTGTGAAAGTGTGTGAATGTGTGTGAATGTGTGTGCGAATGTGTGTGTGAATGTGTGTGAATGTGTGTGTGAATGTGTGCGTGCGTGTGTGCGTGTGTGTGTGTGCGCGCGTGCGCGCGTGCGTGTGTGCGTGAATGCGCGT